ATGGAGTTAATCACGAATGTTGCACACACGCATACATTAATTGACAAATCCTGAAGACAAGACAAGAGATGACTGTTTTGCATGTGTCAACTTGGTAGCATTTTTGTTGTTTTCCAGCACCACCGTGACAAATCCACTTTCCCCCATGCTTTTCCACAAAAGCAAATGCACTATTGTTTTGTTGGTTCACAATTTTTTTACCTTGTTGTGCCGCATGTGCTAATCGAAGCTGGTCTGTCATTCCAATTTGTTGTGCTCTATCTGCAATATCGTTGGCCTGCAACGGGGAAGCTTGCAATGATACGTTTACCGTTGTGGTTCCACCATAACAACCTGCGATCATTAGCAGTTGGTCAATGCATGGCAACCGTAGTCTGTACAACATGGCACATGTAGTGGTTCAACCATGGCAAACATATTTGTTCACACTAGGCATCCACAGTTGTTTAGACATTGTAATCACAGTTGATTTGACATGGCAACTGCAATTGATTAGACATGGCAACTGCAGTTGATTAGACATGCCAACTGCAGTTGATTAGACATGGCAACTGCGTTTTGTCAAGTCACCACGTGAACACCAATGTCACCTATGTTCCTTCTCCTAATTCACTGTCCACAAAATCACTTCATATGACTCACCTGTGTACAACGTTGATGGCAGATACATGGTTGCCGCCTGTTGCCACGTGCTGCATGATGGTCCTGCGTTTTCCTATAAAACTCGTAATTCTTTCCATCCTTGCAACTTTAATTTCATGGACACATCAGTATGCTTCTTTCGTATGCGTTACCTTGATTTGCCACATTCGCTACTTGAAGTTGGTCTCCCCGTACATCTGTCAGCGTTAGCACCCTGTGTTTGAACTTGCGATGGTATCCCTATGTGTGTGGATGTGTCATAAGAACCTGCGAAAAATGACATTGTAGGACATAAGTAGAATGGCGTTTCCTCGTCACAAACATGGTAACCGCCCCCTTTTTTTGATCATGCATCATACCGATGCTCACGTACTGCTCTAGTAGTGGCAGCAACGGCCCTGCGGAAATGAGTTGGTTGTACTCTACTACATCCCAAGGGGGCGCTTCCGGCCTTTGAGAAACCCAAGGATCAGTGTCGTCTTCATGATTCATTTTTCCGCTTTTTCTACCACTGTGTTTTCAGGCACTGCATGAACAAGGACGCATGAATATTCAAAAATGCATTCTTGCTATTTGCACATACAAGAAAACACGACAATCTTATCGCATTTCTTGCATAGACAACCAATACATCACGGCAAGTAGGACATGCACATTCATTCTTCTTCCTAAAATCTGGATGCCAACTATCATTTTGAACCGATGGCAATAGCCAAGATAATATGATGGCAAGTAACAACATAACATGGTGGCAGCTAACGGCAAACATAGGTGGCAACTAACGACAGATGTAGATGGCAATTAATTTTCTCCCTCCCTATGCACCACACAAATTCCTCCTTTCTTCCCCTAGTTTTAGTGAATCCTACACATTCTTCTAGAGCAACTACTCGCGACAACCCAACCAAGAAGCTTAGATCAATATAGGATAGAAGATGGCAGATCTGACGTATGTTGGTGGGCAGAGGGGAATACACACAAATCTGTGGTGTGTTTGCCATGATAGTGTGGATCTAGTCGCCATCTTCGTTGGCAATCTGGAACTTCAATTTTCTGGGACAGAAGAAGGACG